CTTTTTTTTTTTTTTTAAAAAAAGGAAACAAAACAAAACTTTTTTTTCACACCACAGTTTGGTTTTTTTTTTCTTTATAGTGTTTGTGGTCAAATTTGGTGCACATCTCACAAACGTGAGACCTTTTTAATATCTCTCTCTTTTATATATTATATAGAATAATTATAGATTTTCATAGTTTCTGTTTGAAAGTCTGAATAAAAATAGCTGCTGCAGGTTGCTTTTGGTCCAGTTAGTGTTCAGTCACGAGTTGTGTGAGGACTCAAGACTTTTGCTGGGCTGACACACCCTTCCAGTAGTCTAGGATGTCGTGAAGATCCTCGTCTTTGGCAAACTGGACCTTTTTGCGCAGGGCATGGCCGGCTGCCATATACTCCTCCTCGTCTTTGTGCCGCTTCCGGTTGAGTTTGAAGCGTTCCCAGATGCTGTGCGACGGTTTGCATGTGTACTCTGGGCTGGAGGTGTAGCTCAGGTTGTGGTATTGAGGCGAGAGCTGCGAGTAGGCCAGGTCCCTGGGCCGGGGTCTGGTCAGGGGTTCCAGGATGGAGGGCTTGCGGCCCCCCATGCCATCGTGCTGCTCCCCCTGATGCGAGCCAGGGTACGAGTGCCGGTGCTCGCTGTACTGTCGAATCTTCTCCGCCTCTGCCCGCAGGATGGCAGCCGCCGGCGTCACAGTGAGGATGGTGTCTGTGGTTGGGGATGTTTTCTCAATGTATTTGGCTTCTGATTTGTGGCCGGAGCCCTCGGAGCGGAAGGATCGGGGGCTCCGTATGGAGCCGCTGGAGGACGTGCTGGAGCGTTTGGGGGGTGCCTCCATGCTGTGATGTCTCTGCAGCGGATGGCTGTAACTTTCCTTGTAGACAGGGGACAGGAAGCCGTGTTTACTGGGGATCTGTTCCGACAAGAGTACCAGCTGAGGCTCTGCCGTAGAAACCGCTCCAGATTTCACCCCCTGGAAGGAGGTGGACTCTGATTTCAAGGCATCGATGCAGTTGTTAATGATCTGGTTCACTTTGTCCACCTCCTTTGCGATAGTCGAGATCTCGGCCACAGAGCTCTGGCTGTCGGGCGGCAGGGACAGTTCGCACTCTCGTCTTTCAGGCTGCTCCCCGGTCCGCACTTCCATGTAGTTGCCTTTAGTGGCTTTGGGGGTCTCGCTGCTGTCTATCAACTTGTACTGCTCAACTTCCCCCGCGGAGGGGAGGTAAGGGATGCGGGTCACTGTCTCCCCACCCAGCATTTGCCCTTGTGACAGCTGGGTGATGCTGGTTGTCTCCATCTCCGGCCCGTACTTCAGCTCGATGATGGTCTTCTTCATGCTGCCGGTCGCTTTTTTGTGCTTCTCCTCCTGCTGACGCCTCTTGCGGAGGCAGTAATACACCACCCCCAGGACAATCACCATGCCGAACAGGCAACCCAGAATCGTCATGATGTAGTGGGTGGCAGTGGAGGGTGTGGGGACTGGCTCTTCCCTGTTTTTTCTGGTTGGGAAGATGGTGATGCAAGTGTGGTTGTACCTTAAGACCTGGTGGTGGGAGACGATGCAGTAGGTATAGTCTCTTTGTGCTTCCAGATCCTTCACCTCAATTTCCTCCTTCTGCTTTTGGAGCTTCTGGAGATCTGTGGAGAAGCCGTTTTCAAACCGGGCCAGGACATACATCCTGCTGTAGGGGAATGGGATGTGCACAACCAGCACGGCCGAGTTATGGGTGATGTGCGTTGCTTGGAGGTTGGGGCGCACCTCCATCTCCCCAGCGGATGTATAGAAGGGGATCTGCGGTGTGGTGCCGTCCCCAGAGGAGCAGTCTTCTTCTGAGCATGGGCTTTCTGAGGGGGCTGTGGTCACCTGGTACCTGGGGGGGAGCGGGCGAGGTATCATGGTGTAGGGGCCACCAGTGCAGAGGGAGGAGAGCATGCTCAGGGCGTTGCGGTAACCGGTCCGGCCTTGGCCGAGCAGGTAGTAGCCAGAATAATCTGGCGGGGAGTCACACTGCATGCGGTCATACGTGCGCGTCATGTTGGTGAAGGCCTCCAACCATTGTAGGAAGCCAAGGAGCTCACAGGAGCAATAGAAGGGGTTGCTGTAGAGCTCACAGACGGAGAGCTTGTTCAGGCCCCGGAAGGTGTTGCTGTCGAGTCTCTGGATCCTGTTCATGGACAGGTCAATGTTTACTATGTTGGGGCACTCCCAGAAGGCATTGGGGGTGACTATCTCAATGAGGTTAGCCTGGAGGTACAGGTACTCCAGCTTCCCCAGGCCCCGAAGGATTCCCTCGGTCAGGTTTCTTAGCCGGTTGTAGCCCAGCTGCAGCACCTGGAGGTTGAACTGTCCCGAGAAGGCACCATCCTCAATGTAGGAGATCTCGTTCTTGGTCAGGTTGAGGTATGTCAGGTTTCCGAAGCGGCTGAGCGAGGAGTACTGCACGCTCTTGATCTTGTTGTCGTTCAGTCGCAAATCCACGATCGTGCTGTTGATCTGCTGAGGGATGGACTCGTACGGGGGCTGGTTCTGGCTGCAGATAGCCAGCCACACGAAGCCCTTGTCTCCCTCAATCAGCCAGCAGTCTGCCCGCACCCTGCCCGTGTGCAGGATCGAGACAGCCGCCATGCACACACACAGCGCCGACGTCACTGCCCACCTGCGACCTGCCATCTGGAAGAGCAATGCAAAGAAGGAGTTTCCCTCGTTTGCTGGAAGGGGGAGAGGTGCTGGATCTGAAGACCAGGGAAGACGTGGGTTTAATAGTCTTTGGGGAGCTTCGCTTTTCTCTCCTTTCTCCTCATGGCTTGGAACCTAGTGGGCAGTGTCCAAGGGAAAGGGAGGACCTCTTTGTCCAAGTTGCACAGTGACTCCTTGCAGGGTGTTGCACCACCGGTTCAGTGAGGCTGGACCTGCATCGTTAGCCCTTCTGGCATCTCGTCCAGCTGCAGCTGAAGTCAGGCAGGGCCGGGTAGGGATTAGGCAGCGGAGTCTTTCTGACTTAGAGACCAGCTTTTCTCTTGCTTTCTACAGTGCCCCTCCTCATTCTCTTTTTTCCACCCATCTTCAGGTCAGCACCGGGGTCCTTCTCCATCTGCCTGTCCGTCTGTATGTCTGTCTGCCCCTCAGAGCCCTTGTCCAGTTAGCTGCCTCACCTGCAAAGAACCAAAACGAGACACAAAAAGGAGTCAAGACGACATTTTATGGTACGTGGTACAATGCAGCACCTCCAGCATGAGTTCTGCGGCCACCTCGCCATGGCCAGCTTTGCTATGAACACTGGGGGCCTGGGTTTGAAATGTGTTGTGATTTTTTTTTTTTAAATATATTTTACAAAAGCCCTTTATGGTGCTTGGGGCACAGGCCGTGCTCACAGGGTGGGTACAAAAACTTCTGCATTCCGGCATTTGTTACAGCAGTTGTGGCAACCGTGCACCCACAGGACTGGATACAAGTTGAGGCCAGTTGCTTGACGCTCCAGGTAAAACCTAGCCCCAGGAAATGAAGGCAGAGACTCTGGTAGCAACTTCAGGACCTCTTGGGGGCATTTCCTTGAAGACACCGCTGGTAAGCAGAAGGCCTCAAAGCAGACAGTCAATTGTGAAATTCTCACCTGTGATATATATATTTAAGTGTCAGAGTGGTGCAATTTAACACATCCAGAATCAGGGATCAGTTTGGTTGACCTCAGGGTTTGGCATGGAGTCGATACCATGAACGTTTCACTGCCTCAAATGCCAGTTCTCCCATGGTTGTCCTGACACCCCATCGGCTTATGAAGCACTCCCAGACACTCTGCACTGTGAAAATGCTGTGAAGACCAAATGGGATGAGGGGGCACAGGGGAGGGAAGGCAAGTCCAGGAGGAGATTTCTCTCTCTTCCCATGGGCTCTCTGGAACAAGGAGGTTCCTGGACCTGGGAGGAGACAACCGGCCCATATTGCAGAGGCCCAGCAATTTTACTTGCCCTGAGCTCTCTCAAGTACACCTGCCCTAGCCTGGTAACCTGGACATGGCCACATCCTCTGGTCCTAAGCTTTAGGCAATGACACAACCCATCTGTAAGCAAGGGGCCTGGTTTCATAACTCGCCCCCAAAGAACAAACGAGCTGGCTGTCTGGGCTTGATGGCCCGGACATGTCCCAAAGTGCAAAGTCTAGTCCCAAAGTGCAAAACCTGGCTGTATGGGAGAGCGCATGAAATCTGCTTTCTTCCTTGGCTAGGAAATCCCATGCCACTTGGGTCGGTCCTTTCTCAGGTACTGGGGAATAATAGCTTTAAACATGACCCTGGCATTAGTTCAAAGAATCAGCCCAGGCAGTGCAGCGATGACCCAGTGTAAGGCGCTTTTCTACCCAAGCCACCCTGTTTCCCCATCTCCCAAACATGCTTGTAGCAGCTCCAGCGAGTACGCGCTGGGTGCTTCAAGTCCGTGAGTCTCGTGACACTTGCTGACAGCAGAGCTGTAAGGACAGGGCTGGGCATCTGCAGGCGGGGGCTGCAGCTATCGTGCAGCCGTGGTGGCAGTCATTCCTTTCCCCCACAAAGTCAGTGCCCAGAGCAGCTGCCCTGGTCAGCAGTGAGATGGAGGGCTGGATCTTGTTCCTTTGCCATCCTAAATGTACCTTGTTCTGCTAATGGTTCTGTTGAAATCGGGGAAAATCCATTTTCCCACCCTGAGATAGCAGAACATGAAAGGGACGGTGCTTCGGAGCAGAGGGCCTGGCTTAACCAGTCACTCTTTATATCCTAGGAAACAGGCCAATAACCATGAGCGGCAGAATAGTTTATTTGTCCTTACTGAGACGCGAACAATGAGTAGCCCCCAGTGGAACGGCCTGGGGGATGTTGCTGGAATAATAAAAGGTGCACTCATTCCAGCTGTGCGGCGACCCAGCCACCCCCTCCACAAGCTTCTTCAACGGAGCCAAAAGACTGTTGCTGCAGCCTCCCGCGCGGAGGCCGAGGATACGCTGCAATCTCTGGGCAGGGGGTGATCGTTTTGACATTGCTGCACATGGCAAAGCCCTTGTCTGTGCTTGCCCGAATAGCCTTTGGCAAGTATATGCTGTACCTGCAGTGCCATGGTGTGCTGCATAGCCCTATGGGCATCCTTTTCAGTGTAGACTAAGCCTTAGACGCCACAGGGGATGGAACAGGAAATCTACCCCCCCAAAGCTTGCCAGCACCCCCTGCGTCTCGCTGCGCACCCTCACACACTGTACATGCCCCCTCATCTAATGGAAGAAAGCACAGGCTAATGACTGAAGCGCCGGGCCAGCAGTCACGTGGGTTCTCCGCACAGATGTGCCACTGAATCCCCCGTGGCCTTGGGCAAGTCAATTAACCTCTCCATGCTTGAGTCTCCTCTTCAGTGAGATGAGGATAATGATACTCCTCCCTTGGTTCACGGAGGTGCTGGGAGGCTGCATGAAAGCACTTTGAACTCCTCTGCCGTCTGATGAGTGATGGCAAGGTCTCGTCTGGAGGGCACGCTGTAAACACGTAGCGTTCAGTTCAGTCTAGGGTAAGAAGCTGTTGGGCTCCCAATTGAGCCCAGCTCCTTCCCTGTCTGCCCTGTGCCAGCTGCTTCGCCAGGGAAACACCTGGAAACAAAGCCCCCAGCTTGCCTTCAAAAGGAACCAGCACGGTTGGTTTGAGTTGAAGCCGCAGCTGTTTCTGGCTACACGCAGCACCTTTCACTCCTAAGGATGCCGCAGGCTCAGCCACCTGATTTGCAGCCCATGGTTAGACTTTGGCTGACCCATGCGTGGCGGCGCAAGTCTCCTGTGTTTCCTATACAGCAGCCAGCCTCGGCTACAAGCTCCTGGCTCCCTTCAGGCCAGACACTGCTCCTTGTTGGCAACCCCTGGGGCACAAGCTACCGCCGAAGAGTGTCAGACTGCACAGCCCTCTCACCCCCCGCTCTCCAGTCATTAGCTATCCCAGGATGTCGTAGGAGGACAATGAATGCTGCATTGTCCTAAGGGCTGGGGCAGTGGGTCCTCTCTTTCCCTGGGCTGGGAGTGCATGGGTGCCCTCCTGGGACTTCCCTCTGGCTTGATGTAGCACGGCACTGCCTTTGCTATGGACTTAGCCATGCGTGATGCACATATTTGGCCTCATATACTGTATCAGAAGCCTTTACTGTGTCCACTGGCTTACCACGCTGCAGCAAGACAACAGAGGAGAGCAGGGGAAGGAGTGAAGACCATGAATGATGTCTTCCCTTCTCTTTGGTGGGCAGGGCTCTGCCTCTTCACGCTCTGGGTTTGGACTGATTCAGACCATGCAAAGCCTCCAGCTCTGGGTAGGCTTGTGCTTGGAGCCTGGGTCCAATAAGTAGACCAGTTACCTGTCTTTAGGGATCTCAGCGCTGGCTCCTCTCTGAGCCATGGGCCGTACAGCAGCACTTTGGTGCAGGGCAAAATGAAGACAACCCCACAGCAAGTAGAGCAGGATTAATCCCAAGCCGGTATCTCCTCCCCAGCACTCCTCCTAGGTCTGACGGGAGGTGTCTGGGGTGAGGGGGACTATCTGTAACTGCCTCCAAGAGGCTCAACAGTGCTCATGCTGCCTGTTTTCTCTTGCTTTCCCATGTGCTGCTTGTCAGTGGACTTCTCTCCAATAACAGAAAGCAAAAAAAAAAAAAAAAAAGGCTTTTTACCAGCCACCAAGTTTAATTTCAGCTCATTAAAGCAAGCAATTTGCTGGTTTATTTGCTTTGCAAAGTGTGAATAAAATGACAGCATTAAGGCTGTAACAGAGAAAAGAGGGGCTAATCTCCCTCTTTATTAGACTGCCGGGACACGACTGTGACAGAGGTCTTGTTGCTTTGCACAGAGGAGATCATTGTTCATAGTGTAGCTCCTGGAAGCATCCTTTCCAGCGCAGCCTGTGGGGTGGAAGACAAAGGCAGGCTACGAGCCGACAGGCTGCAAAGCTGGGGAAGGAGCTAAGAGACCTGAAAAGGGTTGGTAATTTATGCCCCGGAGACCTGGGACGGTTCCTCCTTTGCTTTTCTGTTCTGCTCTTCATACAGAAATCCTTCCCTTTGACTTGCTGCTCCTGTAAAAATACTGGATCAGCACAATCGCTGGTGCTCCAGTGACTCGCACGGCCTGAAGATCAGACCCATTACAACAGCTGTCCTCCACCTCCCCTCGTGGCTGAAGGAACCCTTCAAGGCCAAGAGAGGAGGAAGTTTCCCAGGGTAGGAGCATTCAGCCTTGCTTTGCTCCCTGTTGGTTGCCTTCAAGCAGGTACCGAAACTTTAAGGACCTTCACCAGCCTAATTGCTTCCCCTGGTTTCTCTCCTTTCCCATGCCATAATTTAGCTAGCTTGCCAATCATCCAAAGGGTCTTCCTGGGAAACCAGGGTGGAAGCCACTTGCCATTCCAGGGTAAAAACACCTGGAAGAATAAAATCTATCAGGTCCTTATCTACTTTTCATTGAGAAACAAAAATGGCAACCAAGACATTTTCTCTCTGGCATGCCATAGCAGTATGCTGTGATTTGACATAGTTTAATCTAACCTGGAGATCTTTTAAGCTCTGGCTTAGTGCGGCTTCTTTCTGTCACGTGCATGTTGCGGCTGCCACCCTGCCGCCTGTCAGGAGCAACGCAGCATGTGAATGTGATGTCCCAGCTTGCAGAGGGCTTGCACCTTTTCATAACTAAGCCCCTGTGGCTGGTAGGCACCAGCTCGTCAACGCCCTAGGGAAAAAGGCGGAAGCATGCTACCTCTGTCCGAGGGGCAGGTGTCTCGTTGCCCGGTCCGCTGTGGAACGATGTGCTGTTATTGCTGCATTTCCCTTTCCCGGTACTTTTCTGAGGGACTATGGTGCATTTTGCTGCTTGAAAAAAGAAGGGTGGTGTGGGGAGCTAATATCTGGCTCTAAAGGCAGAAAGTGTTTGCATTTCCTTTCCACACAGCCCTGCTGAAGAACCTTGCCCCTGGTTTTCAATATCCCCGCTGAGACCTAAAACCACACAGCTCTGCAGCGACCCAGCGCCCCTCTTATTTCAAAGCTGAACCATTTCAGATCTTTGTCAGCAGACCTAGCAAACAGGGATGGCCGGGGTTTTGTAACACAAAGAAACACCCATGAGGGTCTGGAATGACAGCATCAAGCTTATTTCACTCCTAATC